ACGACGCCAGCAGCCCTGACACAGGCAAACACCTCCGCAGGCCTGCACCCCATGGCATGCAACACCTGCCCTCGGGTTCCTTCCATAAAAACATCATCTTGGTGGGCTGCAGCACAACCTTCATGTTATTTCAGGCGCTTTGCTCAGTAACACCCCCCCTCCCACGCACACCTAAAATAATAGTTATGTTTTATGCATGTATGGGTGTACAGAATCCAAGGGGGTGAAGGATTAAATACTAGTTAGTGTGGACAAAGACTGTCTGCGCTAAAGAGAGCCCTAAGCAGCGCAAACATGAGCCATTTCTACCCTTCTAATATTTAAAAGTAAAGGTACATTGTTTGTGCTTCTTGATTATCCTCTTCTCCAGAAATCTCAGCCCACACAAAACCACAGCAAACTCTTCTACCTGCACTCTTCTCATTACAAATGGCAAATTTTCTTGCTGTTCACCACAGCTCTTCTGATACTAGAACCAGCAAGAAATGAGAAAATAATAATACAAGCTTTCTTAAAAACTCAAAATTCCCCTTATACTCCCCAAAATAACAAAGCCGTGTGTAGCACCTTTGCCTGGTGACTTGTGCTATCAGTTTTCCCACTAGGTTCTAGAGCTGAAATAGGTCCGCAGGAAAAAAAAGGGTAGGACTCTTTTTCTGTGGAACAGAGAGATTGGAGTAAACTGAAACATTTTGTGAATTTGTTTTGAAAATACAGAATTGTCTAACTCAAAAACAATACTGCAGCTCCCCATCCCAACATAATTCATTTTGACACTTTCTAAATGAAAGTTTTAATTTCAAATTATGTCATGCCAAAGTTTTCCTCAATCGTATGTAAAAATATGAAAACCTAAAATAAATCTCTAAAATAAAGATTTGTTCCCAACACACTTTTTTCCAGTTTTCTACTCTGCCAAAGCTATCCTTTTCGGATGATATAGGATACCTCAAAAAAATAAAAAACAAATCACCGTCACTTGCACAATTCTTCAGTGTTGCAAAACTGACAATATCTTGGCATAGGCTAAATGGAATGGCAAAGCACCACACGTGAAAGTCCGTACAAAGCAGAAAGTAGAAGAATCCTTTCACACCCAAAAGTGTAATTCTTTTTTAATTTCAACCTCAAACCACAGCCATGCTTTAGTTTGAGGGACTGATTCTGATATTATTGTCATTCGAAAAATAACCACACTTTAAATCCTACCTAAAAGAATAATAAAGTAAGCGGTGTTAATCATTGAACAAATGAGCCGCCTTTCTGGATTCTCCATTTTTCAACTGAAAGAGAATGCCTTTTTAAGAGACAAGTCATTGGGCTCAGTGTCTGAACTAGTGGGGAAAATGTATTGGCCTGTTTTGCTCAGTAAGAGCACACACAGTCATATCGGTTTCTGACGGTCTGCAGTATCTTCACCCTCCCTATTGTGATACAGCCCACAGCATTATCAGTAGCTGTTCCTGCCTCAGTCTGAATAGACCTTTTCAGAAACAGATTATCTTGCTCAGGAAGAACTACTGTTGCTCCTCGGATACTTCCAAGCTGACTAACCTCTAAGTACTTGTTTGGTTCGGCACCATATGCCTTCTCAAAAAGAATCTTCTTAACACAGTACTCAGCATATCTTCAGGATATTGGATGCAGCCCACTAGATCTTGCTGAAAAGCATATATACATTAAAATATTGAACCTTTTCTATGAACACAGTTCTGTGGCCTGCTGAGAACAGACCTCCTTCTGTGAGGAAAAAACACTGAGTCTTGGTCCAAAGCTGCGGGGACTGTTTATGGGTTTGAGTAGATCTTCACAGGAAACAATCTTCTCATCTTTTCACCATAGCTCTATGAGAAATAAAATAGTTCATTAGCACTGACATCAGAAGTAACGTCACCAGCACCTGAGCCTTATGTATGTAATTGGGGTTAACATCTTCAAGATCAGTCATGCCATTCATCAATATTAAAACTCCAGATGTTGAGGGTGAATTCAAAAGCCCAACCAAATGTTCAGTTCTGGATTAGCTCTTCTTGTAGCATGCATGGAAGTCAAGGAGGCATCAGAAAAAAAAAAATCATGAGGTCAAACAGCAATCCAAAACTCCACACTACTTACAGACTAGCCATGTAAGCAGAGACAGACCTAGAAGAAGAGTCAGTTTGATTCTTAGACAGATTTCTTCTGAAGCACAGTGATTGTGGCACACATTTCAAAGCACGTTATAGTCAGGGGCATTTGATTTGAATGGCTTGTGCTAGCTGAGAATGATCACCAGGCTGACCCTAAATATTAGTTTAGGTATCCACTCATTCAGGTGACCACCACCATGCACACCTCATAGACCTCCTCCCAGCATCTCTCCTAGCTCAGACAGATGGGGCTGCTTCAGTTACAGTCACTTCGCTTGTGGCAGGAGAACCTCGTGTGCTGCTAACAGACGCTGGGGGAAGAATCGATGCAGTTTGTTACTAAGCGTGCTGCCTTGCTATTAATGTCACATGTCATGTATATGGAAAGCGCCCATTATATATCAATATAATTGATATTAAAAAAATACTGCAGTGTTTATATAATTTTTGTTTGTTCCCTGTTTAGGGCATGTGCAGTATCAACACCCTCAGTAGGTGATAGGAATCTGCAGCTGTCATCTAGACTAAGAAGGGCTAGCCAGAAATCCCAGATTACTGGATTACTTCAAGATTACTGGATTACAGATTACTGGATTACTTCAAGAAAAATACTGTGTGCTTGTGAGGTAGAAGAGTACAAGAAGGGGCATCAATTTACAGCATAATGCCGCGCAGTGCATCCACATTACACTTGTATTGGTAAAAAATGGTAGGACAGAAGAGGACAGATAGAGAAAGATAAAGAAGTGGTATTTATGACAATTTTACTCACTAAAAATGACATCATTTGCCGTACATGGAAAATGGAAGAGATCTCTGTGGGCCTGTTTGTTGTGAGGCAGTGGGCTTGGACATCTCCTGAGACAGGCAGCTGGCTTTAAACAGTGAGATGTTGCTGTGAATCCTTGAAGGTTTCTAATGCTGGATATATGTCTAAACACCTCTGGATGTGAAGAGGATCAGCACCTAGAAACTCTCTAAGAATTAAGCCAGTTTTACTTGCAGCCTCTGATCCCAGCCTTTTAGACAGAGCTTCCTCAGAAGTTGCAGTGGTGAAACATGCATAAACCATCTGGTCTTGTGCAAGGCGATGAGTAAAAGTAACACTTTCAGGGCTATTAGCTCAATGGAGGTTAGGATCTGAATGAAAGAACATGTTCAGGCACCCCTGCCACAGATTTAGCCCAAGGCAGGTTTATGGCAATCCAGAGGGAGAAGTCTTTGCCTGGGAAGGCTGTTACAGGGCAATGCAGAGGCTCGTGGCAGCTGTTGCCGAGTTTGGGATATGTCCTCTGCCCTGAGCACAAACCTGCATCTCTCTCAGACAGAAAAGACAGCTGAAAAGCACTTTGCGCCTTGACAATGCTTAAGTGACACATGAGACACATTACCTGGCTTCCTTAAAGCATTCACAGCAATTAGAAGTTGAATTTTAAAGCTAAGATTACAGAACACTTCAGCATTTGTTCTCCATGGGCCTCAGTTAGCCTTTTACATACCTATACAGGTTATGACCCAAACGTTTAGGTATTATAGATTACTGACTTGGTTTCTTCTCACTGGGCACCATGCAAGACTTTCCTTGTATTGAATTTAAGTACACTGGTAAATGTTCTTTTCGTTTATTTGATTCTATCTCCAGTTTTATGTGGTGAAGCCTTTTTAATAGATAAGAAGATATTTAAGGGTGTTGTGAAATAACCTCATTTGAAAAGGAGGTAACTTTCAGTGGCTGTGAATGACTGTTGGCCTTGAAAACCTCATCAGATTCCCATGCAGAGGGACAGACAAAAATGGACCTTTGTCCTCTGGCTTAGAGCCCTGCTTCTGGGAAAACTACAGGAACAGCCTTGTTTCTTTTTAGCAAATTTTAGTGCTTGGCCAACAGCACTGGTCATCCTGCTCACAAGCAAGGAGTGCTACTGTAAAAAATGGGTTTGCACTACCTAAATCAGAGTTATGAGGCAAAGAAGCAAAGGAAAAAGAAAAATAAAAAGAAAAAGAAAAGAAAAAAAGAAAAATAGAAAAAGAAAAAAAAAGAAAAAGAAAGAAAAAGAAAAATAAAAGAAAAATAAAGGAAGGTGAAATCCAGTGGATGACTGAAATAACCTCAAACCTACACCCAAGTAGTTAATAAGGTTTGAACAATCCTATTTTTCCTTGCCTGGTCCTGTTGCTTATGAGTGAGAAAATGAAGGGTTAATGTATGACTGCAGGTTACTAACCCTGTGCTGGTGAAGGCTACTTCCCTTCAGATGACAGATCTCTTTAGAAAACCAGCTGTTGCTACATAACTTCAAGAAAGGAATGGTGACTTTTGTCCAAAGCAAAACCTGTATATGACGATTCCTGTTTTTGTGCTGAGCACTGCTTTGGCTTAGAGCTACAGCAGCCTTGTAAATTCATGAGTACCACTTGTGTCATGTCTTAAGCTTAAAAGGCGTCCTGTTTTCACTAGTCTGTCTTCAACTTTTGTTTATTTTTCAAATACTTTCTCTTTAACAAGCCACAACAGAATCCAGCGCACATTATCTGCTGCAGTCAACTGGGGATATGGAATATCTGTATCCTAGAAAGACCCAAGAAAGCCTTGGGCAGAAAACAATTCCTGACAAGTAAAACACGTTAATAGATTTAGTCTCCCTTATGCTTGGCCTGGATCAGTCCCGCGTACTCTAAAATAACTTCACGGCACAGAGCACAGCAGTTATGTCTCCAAAACATTCCTAAGGCTTGACTTGTTGGGATCTGCGTATTTCATGGTCACACACACACAAATAAGCACCGATGAGTCTGGTATCTCTTCAGCTCATCCCAGGAGGTTCGTGCTGCAGAGTGCGAAGGGCTCCCCGTGCAATTTCTGCTTCCGACATGCCGATACACCGGGACCTCTCTGCTGATGATCAGCACCTACAAGTTGGCAAGCAAAGAGTTTATGAAGCGAGTATGTCACCCCTACAATGCCTTATGTTATCATCAGGGTCCTTTCATGCCCCCTGTAACACTGAGAGGTTGTTCAAAAAGTTCAAGAAGGGTTGAAACACAAGGGTCGAAAGCTGCCCAGGCTCCTGAGAGGTACTTACATTTGGGGTGACCAGTCTCCACAGACTGGACCAGGACGTAGTCTAATCCCTCGCCAGGCAGCTACAACAGAGAGGTGGCGTTGGCT